CACATCAGCTATCAGTGGGGAGGAGAGCAGAGCAATGTAGCCAATTCATAGATGGGGATTATAAGGAGGCCATGATTGGTAAGGGCCAATGGGAAATTTGGCCAGGATGCCGGGGTTACACCACTACTCTTTTCGAAAAATGCCCTGGGATTTTTAACGACCACAGAGAGTCAGGACCTAGGTTTTATGTCTCATCCAAAAGACAGCGCCTGTTTACAGTATAGTGTCTCCATCACTATACTGGGGCATTAGGTCCCACATGGACCGCAGGGTGAGCACCCCCTGCTGGCCCTACTAATACCTCTTCCAGCAGCAACCTTAGTTTTTCCACAGGAAGTCTCCCATCCAGGTACTGACCAGGCTCACATCTGCTTAGCTTCAGTGGGTTGCCAGTTGTGAGTTGCAGGGTGATATAGCTGCTTTACTGTGTTTGCACTGGAAAGTGCCACTTGGTAATGATCCGATCAGCTCTCAGTACAGTTTGAGTGCCTCTCGGTGCAGCTGGTTGACCCTAGGTCACTAGCTGGCTGTAACAGGGATTCCCCAAGCAGGGGAACACAGTTGGCAGAGTGCCGCTGGATCTTCTCGGCTCTCTCCAAAGCAGCAACTCCTGAAACATTCCCAGACACCTGCAGCCTTGCAGTGCCACCAGTGAGGGAAGCGCTGGTCCTCCAGCTGGCACTGGGGGGCTCTCGGCCCGGCACATGCCACATGCCAATGGGCACGAAGGAGGTGAGGGGTCACAGCTTGTGAACCAAGTCGTAATGCACCTGGCAGCTCCAAAATAGGTATCTATTGCAATTAGAAAGTCTGGCAAAAAAGCGAGCAATAATTACAAATTAAGTGACTGAGACCTTTAGATGGACTATAAACCAGAAAGGACTGTACCTTGCAGTCTGAGCCCCTTCTGCGGCTTTAGGTTTGGCCTACCTCAAATATTCAGGAATAATAATGAGTTGCTTCATTGAGATTCATACCGCTGTTCCCTGCTTTGTTTGTTAGAAATGCAACATCAGAGCCCTGGCAGCTACTCCGCTTTGATTTCTTTTTATAGCGCATTATGAATGATTAAAGGAGATGGGTCTATTTTTACATGACTTTAGAAATCATGCACACGGTAATTACGGTAATGTTCGCCATAGCAATTCGTGCCCACCCCCCCCCACCCCACCTCAAACTGAATACTTCTTAATCAAATTATACGACAAACAAAATCAAAACATATTCCCAGGCATGCATAATGTATACTGCTGGATCTCATGAAACACACAAAATCTTTCATCACAAATATCTGCTGGAATATTTTTTAACCAGTTCGATCACTGCTGCAGCCTATTCCAGTTGTATCTCTTCATTTACAACAGGTCCCTAAGGGGCACTACAATAGTTACAGTTCTGCACATTAACTGTCTCATGTTCGGCTGCACAGCTCTGGTTGTGGAGCGATATTTAGCAGTCTGGCAGGATTCATTTTGACTTCCAGCATTAGGCTTTGTCATGAAGTAACAGGAAATTGGCCATGTACAACAACAATTTAATTCGCCTTTTTGACTTTTATTTTTCAACTCTCCTCTGTTGTGACTCAAAATGATGGGACGGCACGGCCTTAAAATGAGAATATCCGGTGTGTTTTATTTGCCAGGGACAGGGGAGCCCGACAGGACTAATGTTTGAAAGACTGTGTTTTTTCATAACAAAATCAGTGTTTAAATTGCTGAAGCTATTGTTCTTGGTGCTGAAGAAGAAAGCAATGCTGAACAAAATTCTGAATTATTCATAAATATAGCAAAGGACTAAATGGTTGTATTCAAACATTTGTTTTTCTGCAATTGGCTGTTCCTGTGACTCAAAAAAATATATTTATCATGCATTTATCCTCATGAGCCTAAGGAAAACTTTATGTGGTTTGTCTTATCTGTTTTTCCTTTTGATCTGATGCACGTTCTGCTGACATTTTATCAGCGCACATTACGACGGGACCACTTTAGCATAAGTATGCTTTGAAATCATAGATCTTTATCGCTGTAGAACAGTTCAATAGCCCTACAGTGTGGTACAGTATCTGTCAGCGCCCCCTTGTTTGCTGAAAACTTACAAACTGATATAAGTTAAACAATTTTGCATTATTTTTAGTAAATTACAACTGCAAAATTGGCAAAAAAAACAATATAACACAGTTTTATATAAATAAGATTTCATTTAAAGTTTTAAGATGATTTGGCAATCTGATACCTTGTGATGCACCTCTTCTTTAGGATTGATGTGTGAAAATTGATTAAATTAAATTAACAGCCCAGTGTTATTTTCTATACACTGGCAGACTTTGCAAAAGGTAAAAATTTAAATTAACTTGCAATTAACACTGCCCAGTTCAGTATGTTGTCAGATGGGTGTATGGAGAGACATAATTACTATATATACAGTACTATAATTACTTCATATTAAATCTTGTATTATTTTAAATATCTGATAAACTAATTATTTATAACATATTTAGGACTAAAAAAACCTGTGTAGTTTCATGTACTGTATAATGTTATGCCATACAAGCATATCTACCTTCATAGTGTACTACTTCAAGTAATGCTGTACAATTTTCAATAATACTATAAAGTTTGTCTGACAGCTCTGAAGGTATTATGCTTCTAAACACAGGAAAAGAAAACCAAACCATTCATACAATATTTATACTGCCTGCAGTGAATTAATATTAATCTGAAACACAAAGGGAAAAAATCAGGCATAAGTATAGTATATTGACTACATTTGGGGTTAGAAATGGATTGAAAGATTGAAACATATTTTAGTGTAATAGAAATAAGATACTGCACCAATAGAAACCGAGCTGTTTCTATAATAAAAAACAGCCACCAATGAAAGAATAGTCAAGCTATTTTTTTCCTTTTCATCTTTGAATATTGATTAGATGAATACATTTTAACATCTGCCTTGAATTTGTCAGGCTTGTAACACATCGGCACCTGCTTGCAGAGTGCAAGATTTAATAGAGAAGAGAGCAGACTTTTCCTTTGACTAAATCGTTCAAAAAACATCTAGTGAGGACCTCCATCTTTTTCATTAGATAATGCCTGATGGCTGAACTGTTGTCTGCTTAAGCAGAGGTTTTATGTCGGTTGGTGTCTCTTAGGTCTCCAGAACTGCCCAGAATGAAATCAATAGAATCCCCTTTCATTCCAACACTTTGTGTTTAGTCTGCAAGCTGATGGGCTGACATACTGTATTGATCTTCTGGTGTTCTTTGTTACATTAGTCAGAGCTCCCTGTTAATTTTGACTGTTAGTTCTTGACAAATTTCTAGTTCTAGGAGTAAAAGCCCTGTTGATCAATGTTTTGGAATGAAGGTTCTCAGTGCTGTGTTAGTAGGACAGAATCTGGTAAGTGGGTGGACCTGACTGGCTCCCAGAAAATCAACAACAAGAGGGTAATGACAAGGTTGTTGAAGTGTGTCTGGCTTCCTTCAAGAAATGGCTCCATAAGATCTTCTGATCAATTGGCTACTAACTGCCGAACAGGATAGATGGGCTGACTAGCCTCTCTCATTTCTAACCTTTCTTATGTTCTTATGTTCTCGAGGGAAAGAGAGCAATATGAAAGAGCACTGAGTGTGAGCTGGCTTAATGATTGGCCTGTAAAAGGCACTGAACAGGACCAAACCAGCACAGCACACTGCTCCAACGGACATACAACATTAATGAGAAAACAGGCTGAAACAGCAAAGATGAACGAGTCTTTATTCTAAATTTAGCATCGGGCTGGCCTGGAGAGAAACATAGTCCCAGTTCGATTTTCTTTTGAAAAAAAGAAAACCACATGTTCAGGATTCTTTAGCTTATGAAATGCTTC